TTCCTGTCGATGCCCTGTTTTCAGTGTTTTATTTTTTAGACTAGATTTTGTGTGTCCATGCTTTGGTGGTTCTGTGAAGGCACCAAATCATAACTAGTGAAAATCCTTTGGCCTGTCTGCTGACAGACAGGTTTTGCCTTTTCTGTATTTGTTGGTGGTGCTCTTTGTTAGGAATCTCAGAATCAGAAGTGCTGTAGGTAAAATAAAATTTACTTAAGCCACATAGTGGGAGAAATCTTTTCTTTGGCTCTTCTTCATCCTTCAGTTTTATGAAATCTCAAGTGATGTCTGTGTCAAATGTGCTTTGAAATACTATAGGTAGAGTTGGAGTATAAATGCTGTGTCCCACAAGCCACAATTAACATCAGGGCAACAGATGATATGCTGGTCCCCTGCTGCCTAACCAGATGTTCTTTCCAGCTCGGTCTTCTGAACTGTTCATGTTGATCATGGCTCAGTGTGCTACTCTTTTTCCAATTTTTCTTAAAAGTGAGTTATAAACTTCTATAGTTCAGAAACTGCTTTTACCCCTGCCATCAGTGCAGCAGAAATAGGACAGCTGTCAGGTGCCAGACAGAACATGTGGTTTACTTCTGGTTTAGGTGGCCTGCCCTCCAGCCACCCTTCCAGAACAGTGTGGGTCACCAGAAGCTTCTCTTCCCTATCATTTTTTCTGGCTTCATGTGGGTATTTTGAGTGCTCCATTGCATGTAATGCAACACAGTACACCTATGTGTGAATGCTGAGAGGATGGCCTTTCTGCCACCCAGTGTTTAAACCCTGTATAGACTTCGTGCTGTATTTCATGGAGAAGAAAGGTCCACTGATGCCAACAGATAGTAATTCACTTCAGGATCTGACTCCTTAAAGGCACGTTGATCTTCTAACATTATCAGGTCAGTATTTTTTCCTTAAACAGCTGTTCTCTACTGGAAATCTTTTTCTTTCTTCTGATGCCAACTTTCCAATCTTTACCTGGCATTGGTGTAACACTATTAGTAGGTGGAATGAATTAGGGAATAAATCTTTCAGTGATCAGT